AACTGCTTGTAAATACACTGCTTGCCACACCGTACTGTCAAATCACAACTGCTCTTTCCTTTATCTCACAGAAATATTGTGTTGCAAGCAGCCAGCACATCTCATGTTAATTTTTGTGTGCAAAATGGTGGCGATAAAGTTGAATGTTAAAGGCAAGCACTTAATCTGTGGGAGGACTGAAAAAGAGACTGTGGTGAAATTTTGGGTTAGCACCTGCACGGAAGTGAACGGAATTATTTGCACAGTAAAGCATAAAGTAGTTTATCAAAAATGTTAAAAGCTTGAAGGCTTTTCTGAAGTGCGGTTTCTTCTGCTTCTTAGCCTATGGACCTGTAGTGAAACTGCTGCTTTCATTCTATGCACAGGCAATGGACTTCTGCAAAGTCTTAACTGATTTTATAAGTTTTATTTGTTTCTGCCACTTACAAGCATTGAAAAGTCATAAGCTTTACACCCCAGAAGTTTTCTAAGGGGTAATTTACTATGCTTTCTTATTTCTTGAATATTTTCCTTAATTCTCCCCACATCTCATGGCAGCGGAAATAAAAAAAAAAAAAAAATTAAAACCAGTTTTGAATTAGAGCTGATATTTGGGGTTTCTGAAATGCCTTGAATTTATCAAGATGTTTTTCCAAATTGGCACTGGTTGTCATGCTTTCTAATGCTATAATTTGGAGAGGTATAGTATTTTTGTGTTTTTTCGAAGAAGACTCATTTTGACCTACTGAAATTGAAGGTGGTAATTTTTTTTTTTTCTTCCTGTGGAACAGGGAATTAAAGGATGGACACAATTCATATCAGTTCAGATACACCTGTTCAGAATAGCTAGTATATGGACAGAAGTACTTCTGAAATTAAAAAGACCAGTGACTGGACATAAATTCTTTAACCAACAGTTAGTATAGAAATATCATGTAAAAATAGCATGACTTTTGAAGACAGAAAATTGGATGTGAGTAGATAGGGTTAGGTAAATACTTTATCTGTATTCAGCATGATTGAATCCTGAACTGGTGGGATAAGAGAAGATGGTTCTGTCAGCATAATAATACACAAAAATCTTTCTCTAACATTGCAAGACATTACGTTGTGTTTGAGCTGCTTGGGAGAAGTGTTGCCTTGTTTTAAAGAGGCTGTCCTGTGTTGCAAGCATCTGGTTGCATAGCAGTCAAACACTTAGTCTTCAATTGGAGCACAGTAGGAGTTCATAGACTTCAGACTTGCAGAACTGATCGTCGTATGTAGGACAGCTATGCTCAGTATCATTGGAAGTGATGGCAGACCATCCTGCTTCGAACTCAGGATGTGAGATAAAACCAACCAACAAGCGTAACTTACGGTGGATCTAAGTTTTAGTCAAACGGTATGGCTTTTAACTTGCTGATTTCTGTGCTGTGAGAAGAGGGATGCTGGCTCAGGCTGGCTACCTGAAACTAGTTTATTGAGCAGGTAGTCTGTACTGAACTCCATGCTGCTGCTGGGACTTTGTCAGTATCTAAGCAAACTAACCTAGAGCTGGCTTAGGTATGCCTATGCAAACCAGTATGTTTTTTCAGTGCATGCTCAGAGTTTGAAAAAGCCTGATACCTCTTACTTCAGTGCAGCATGGTTCTAAACCTGAATGTCTGCATGTGGTTAGAAATTTGAAAAGAGTAAACCTACCTCTGTCTAATTTGGACACATCTAATGAGGCTACAGTTGATTAATTCCTGGGAAAATAGGTTGAGCAGCAGGAGCTGTGGAATTGTGCTTTTTAGCACAAAAAAAAGTAGGCAGAAGAACTACGAGGGGAGAGAGGAATGGAATTGTGTGGAGGGAAGTTAAATTGTGGAGCCATTAGAATGGAGGCTAGGATGGAGGCTCAAAGTATTTAAAGTATTGTTTAGGAAGATGGATGATTTAGCAGGGATGTGCCAGAGATTTGGAGGGAAGGAAAGGTAAATGTCAAGAAGGTATGGAGCAGAATTGGCCAAGCTTTTATTATACTTTGGCATTTGAAAGGCTTGTCTGTGTTGATGACGATGCATTAAGAAGTCAGCAGGGGGATTGCCTCTTTGTAGAGGCATGAACAGGGCCTGTAGCTGGCCCTGTAGTTTGCTTCTGACCACCTCCTTCCCTCCACGCCCTGGAGGATATACTAAATGTCTGTAGGACAGTTAAGCGACTTTCCTGTTTCCATCCAGCTAAAGGGGGGTGTGTGTGTATGAAGGGAATTAATAGGAAGGAGCCTGTGCAGACACAAGACTAAACCATGAGTTTTTTACTGAAGAATCTTAAGCTCTCAGCTCTTCTGTCAGGTGATAATGAAAATGCATACAGAATGCGTTTTAAACGGTATACTTCTTTTCAGTTTGCTTGTTGCACTGTAAAATTGCGTTCAGACGATGTGCACTGTAACTTGAAAGCCTCAATAATGCTAAGTGCTAAGTTAAAGCATACAGATGCATAAATAACCAATGTTTAATCTGTGGGCTTGGAAAACTTAGGATACAAATAGAAATGTGGTTCATTAGTGAGGATGTGCAGTTTACCTGCCCTATAACAAACCCCTTTGAGTTTTAATATGTATTTGTTGCATCAATATGTTCTAATAATCTAATAACTGTGGATGCTGTGGTTCTGGAAGTTTTTGTAGCAAGTGTAGTAAAGTTGCTGTAGTTAAGTGCCTTTGAAAGCAAGGTCTAAGTGAAACATGCCCTGCATAGTAGGGCAGTGTTTTCCTAAAAAGGATTCTGCCCATCACTTCCATGGGCATAATAAGATTAACTGTGGTTTGTAGAAGGTGAAAACAAAATAAATTTTTCCATCTGATCTTATTGTGGGTTATTTTGCTGGTGAAATGTTTCTCTGGTTTGGAGCAGCACCTTCTTGATTTTTATCTGCAAAATCTCTTCTAATTAACAGCTGTCACAGTGCAACTGTGTATTTTACTTATAGGGGATTAGGCTGAGTAATTTAAGTGTCCACAAGGAAATTTCCATTAAGTAACAACTTAAACTTAACACACTCTTGCCTTTGAGACATCTTTTAAGATCTGTTAGGATTCCAGTGTTCCTGTTTACTCCTGTTTTAAGATTTCTTTTTCTCTTCGTCTCTTTGATTCCTTAGTGAATTCTTAGCATAGTTGCTATCTGGGATATGGCAAATTCCTGGGGGTGGGGCGGTGGGGGGTTGCATGTAGCTATGTATTAGAAGTTCAGCAAATGAGTGGCATCTACTGCTTTAGATTCCTGGTTTGCTGTATTCTATTATTTTTGCAGTCTTTCTGTTTAACGTCTGATACTTGCATCCATTTAAAAATGAAATGTTTTTGCTGATATGGTTGATGTCCACCTCCTTCCCTTTCCTTTTTTCCCTCTCTCCCTTCACCTGACTTGATTGCAGTCTGCTTGATCGAAAGAGTTTGTCATGTTTAGTTACTCTGAAAGCCTGGTGCTTTAAAAAGGGATGGGGAGTCAGAAGACATAACCAGAGAATGCTTTGTTTACTTTGCAGATTTGCCAATAAACGTACTTGCTATTGAGTGCTGGGATTTAACTTAAAATTCTGTTTTCCAGGTCTAATAGGATAAAGTATCTTGTGTGCAGTAACTTCAAACGAGCATCTGTTAAAGAAAAATATTTTTTAAAAAAAACTTCCTTTTTAAGGGGGTCGGGGGGGGATTGTTTTGTATTTTGATCAAAACTGCTTACCAGTTAAACCAGCCTAACATTAGCGTAGCCAAAGTTGCCTTAAGGCTTTGGGTACTGCTTTCATTAGATGATCTGCTAAGGAAACCTCTGTCTGTTAAGGAAACCTCTGTCTGTCTGGACCTTTGGTGCATTTATGAAGCATTGCTTTACCTTTATAGATGTAATCACTTTACCTTAGAGTGATTTTTTTTTTTTTTTTGGCTTCCCAAGTTTCCTGCATTCCTTTTTCTTGTATGGTATGGTTAGCTCAGGTCCATGCCTGATGTAGATTTAGGGTGTTCAGTTTATCCTTGTTTCTTTTTAATGTCTTTGAGTATCAAGAAGACTTTCAGCTTTACTGCTGCAAAAGAGCTGTGATGGACTGTTGAATGCTTTCTGTTCTGATCACTGCTATGCAGTTAGCTCAGGACAACAAATTCTTTTTTTTTTAATTTTTGAGGAACTTTGTTTTATGCTCCAGCTGATATCTGAAGAATTCATATACCGCCAACATCAATTTTCTCAACGAGGAAGATTCTTAAAATAAACGTTATTTGTGCTTTTGTGATAAGCTATAAAAACAACCAAGCAAAGAAAGGGTGAGTTGTATAATATGGCCCACTAGAAATTGGTTAAAAAGAGAAGTAGAGCCAGACTGAACATACGAGAAAACTTATACAGAATCCTCCCCCAGGATTCCTATGGGATATAAATAAGTCTCAAGACTAGACAACAAAACAAGAGAAGTAGATAGTGTAACCTATCAACATCATATTCTGTTTTACTTTCATTGACAATTTTCTAACCTTCACAGTTTTGCAGTAAACCAGATTTCTGTTAGTGAGAATAAACTGGACAGGGGATGCAGAAAGAAGGCTCCTTCTAATGACAATGAATAGCAGTTAAAACTTTTAGTTTCAATTTAGCATCGAATATTTTACGTAATATTAGGGAGCTATACCTACTGAAGAACTATTGGTGAGGAGACACTTGCTTGGGGAGGAAATGAAATATGGAGAATAAACTGATACAAACCATTTAAAAGCACTTCAGCTTCCTGACAACCTCCACAACAGTTTAAGCTTTCTAACTTTCGTGTTTTTATCACTGTATTTTAAAAGTTGACACACTTTCAATATTTGACTATCATATCTGTATTTATTATGTTTTGTTCTTTTTACGCTCTTCTTTATCGCGTTTGAATGGGCTAGAATGGGGTTGGCATGAAAGAATCGGTCCTGTTTTGTGGCAGCTATTAGGACGCCATCGGTGGTGAGCCCTCATGTTTTGCTGGAGTGTGGTGTAATAAGTTCCTTTTACATCCTCTAGCCTTTTTTTGCTTTTGCAAATGAAGAAAAGTTTTCCGAAAATGGATGGATGGTGTACAATCCAATGTGCGAATACAGGAGACAAGTAAGTTATTAAAGTTACAGTTGCATGGTGCTTTCATATCTGAAAACTTAAAGGCATTATAGTTCAAATATTTCACTTAGCTCATCTGTGGAGAGAGCTGATAACTGGAGAAGATAGAAAGGCAAGATTTAAGAAAAAGTAAGGTAAAAAAGAACAAAAACCTGGAACCTTTAAGTTAGGAAATGAGAATGTCACAGGAAGTTAGTCTTCTGCTCTTTGACAGAAGTTATGAATAATACCTCTTAGTTCTAGTTTAGTTTAGTTTAATTAATAATACCTTTGACTGTGCTGCTGTTAAGCAGGGGAGGGGGAAGAATGTGACAAATACATAATTGAAATATCCTAAATATAAAGTTGATACGGTCCCATTCTCCTAGAAGTAAACAAACAAAAAAGCTTACTCTATGAACAACTATTTAAAGTGTTGTTCCTGTGTCTGTCAGTCTTCTACCTTGCTCTTGAGGTGGTTGTGGAAATGTCAGTGAAAGAGGATGATGTACTTAATGTCCTACAATTATTTTAGCTTTAAGTACTATGTTTTAAATATTTAGATAAAATATTAAAAAATATTTTTAAAATAGTGTTTATATGGCAAACAATAAGAACTTCCTTGAGTTATTTTCCTTCATAATTTTTAATGAACTTGAGTGTATCCAAACTTATGTGGTCTGTTTAGTTCAAGGTTTAGGGGCCCGACAATCCCACAAAAAGCAAATACACCCGCACAAACCCCACTATATTTGTGTGTGGAGAGCTTATCAGTCTTTCTCAATTTCTTGGCTGCTGTTTGTGAAATATCTTCCTTAATCTGGTCTTAAAATCAGGGTAGCATCAGGCTACGGGGAAGAAAGGTTGAGACCAGACTACTACTCCCTTTCTTTCAGGACTGTCTCGTTAATCTTTTTTTTTTTCCTGAAGGCAAAATGGAAAGTTGATGCTTTGAGGGAGGAGGGGAGAACAATTTTTTTAGCTCGGTCTGAGGGTTGAAGAAACATCTATTAGTTTCAGCAGTGTTTCTAAACTTGCTGAGAGAATAGAATTGTGTGTAAGAGAACGTATGCTAGCTATGCAGGTAAGACTGCGGTGTCTGTGCGTGCTGTTTTGTGTGGTCTTGTAATCTGTTTTTCTTCTATTGCTTTGAATCATCTTTACTGTAGCTAGTCAGGTTAAATTGGTGGGTTGTTGCCACCATGTGGCCATAATATCATGTAAAATTCAAGAACAGGGTTGTTACGTTTCTACAGCCAAAAATGCATTGAAAAACTTTGTGTTGCATTTTAGGGACTGCCCAATGAACGATGGCGAGTAACTTTCATTAATGAACATTATGGACTCTGTGACACGTATCCATCGCTCTTAGTAGTGCCATATAACGCAACAGATGACGACCTCAAGAAAGTTGCTGCCTTTAGATCCCGAAATAGAATCCCGGTGAGTATTATGTACAGCAAATGTTATTACTATGTGATTAGTTTTAAGCGTGCATGCAAACAACGCTTTGCTGAACACAACACACAACGCTTTTATTGGGTTTGGTTACAACAACATAGTTCCGACTGGCTGACCTTTTCACCGCTCGACGCTAGTATGAGGACCAAGCCTCGCTGTTTTCCCCCACAACAGTTACCCCTTCCAGCTCTGATTCTAACTTTCCTTTTCTAGTAACAACTGCCAGCATTGCAGATTCCCCTTTCTTAGTGGAGTATGAGCTTTAGGCTGTCATCTGTGCTAGTTTGTTGACTTAACTATTATTCCCACGGTCAGTACTAAAAGAAAACCTCCTGTGTAGTGTCTGCACTGAAATTCTTGGGTTTTTTTTTAGCTCTGTGAAATTTTAAATACTGTTGAGTTTAAGATAAACCCTTGTAACTTAATTTGGGTATGTTCCTGTAGCTAGAATTCTTTGAGATAATGGTATTGTTATATAGCAGCTCTGGAAATAAACTCTTCATAGCACTGTATAAAATATTAATTTCTAATGCAATACAATCTGTTTTAACTAACCAATTTTAACTTGGCAAGCTTGAAAGAGGTGGTTGTTTCTTAGCCAACGTCAGGAAGCTGCCTTGAATCTCACTTTCAAACAAATTTGAAACTCGAGATGATAAATATTTTCTAGATTGTATTTACCGACAAGGTAGGATTATTATGCATTGACTACATACACACACGTGCACACACACACTTTTTATCATCTGGGCATATCTTCTATATCATCTCTAAATATATGGCAGGGTTTTTATTCTGCTTGTACAGTAAGAATCAGTTCCTTGGTGGTGATAATTTTATTCTTGTCAAGAAATAACCAGTCATTCACCCTCATACAAACTGACAGCTGTGGCTTATAGATGCACAGCCAAGGATTGTGTTTCAATAGTGAATACTTGTTGAAGATTTTTCTGAAGTCTGACACTATGTCACCTTGTAATCTACAATTTTGTCAGTCACTGAGAATCTTAAGGGTTCTCTTTCTTAAGAGTTTATCAGGATAAAACTGGAAATTTTGCCTACTTTTTGAGACTCTTCTTTGCAATTTATTGTGCTTTAATCTGTTCTCTGGGCAGCTCACTGAGTCATGTTGTGGTAAGTCCCCTCTGGCTCAGAAAAACAAAAAAGACAGCATGCGCTCTGTTCCACTACCTGCTCTATGTTAAGAGGGCTGGGAAACAAATGGCATTTGAAAGTGGGAAAGAGAGATTCGGGCTGCTGCGGAAAAGTTCAATTTTATTTCCTTATCCAAAAAAGGGTAAAGTTGTTCTTGTACAGTCAGAGCATCTTAGTTACAACTCCTAAGATCCGTTCGTTCTTCCGAGTTGTTTTGTAGTTTTGGCAGGCATTGCTGTGTTTATTTCGAGCTTGCTTTTTCAGAATTACTTGTAGAACCTAAGACTTACAGAAAATATTAAAATACTTTGGACCATGCGTGCACATACAACTTCAGTGAGAGTGAGACATATAAGAGAGTGAACCCTTTTTAAGGTATTAGTAAGTTTTATGAGACTAAATGGGAAGCTGTTGAGATGTCTAGGAATACTTTTGAAGAAATAAAATCTGTGTTAACTTCCATAGTAACTAGTTTAAAGAATGTAAATTTAAACTTTAACATATGGCTTTCAGCAAACATTCTTGCTAATCTTTTTGGCATGTAACTAGGTTTTGTCATGGATTCATCCAGAGAATCAAGCTGTTATTATGCGCTGCAGTCAGCCCCTTGTTGGAATGAGCGGCAAACGGAATAAAGATGATGAAAAATATCTTGATATCATCAGGGAAGCTAATGGGCAAATATCAAAACTGACCATCTATGATGCTAGGCCCAATGTCAATGCAGTGGCCAACAAGGTAAGCAGATGTTTAGTAGTCTTGTTTGTAAAGGGGAGGAAGAAGCCTTAAAGTTTGAAGTTTGGACTGTGAAGAGATTTCTAGAAACAGTAGTAATCTTACCATAGATATATACATACTTGATTATATATTTATATCTGCATAATCGAGCACTGAGGCTGCAGGCTATAAAAAGATGCGAGTGCCTAAAGCGGGTCACAGGCAGAGCTTAGGAGCGTGTGTGGATTTCCCAACACCTTTTACCCCATCCACTGTATACTAAGTGTAGATCTCGGCATGTCACCAAAATCCAATATGGCTATACTCCTCACTCTTTTTCATCCAAGTGAGGTAACCGTAGGCTGAGCTATAGAGCATGTCCCTGTGTTGGAATGACACAGCGCCTCAGTACAAGCCCAAACTCTCCTTTGTATTTGGGCAGATTCTGTTCTGGAAATGCTACGTGTGTAAAGCCATGTCGGCTGGTAGGCATCCTTAGTTTGGTTCTTCCTGAATGTTACGTGAACCATTTCAGACCTGACCAGGTCTGAGAGAGACCTGGTTGAGAGAAAATGTTAAGTTAGTTTGTTGGGCTTGCACTCTGAGGAGCAGTATGGGTAGAATCTTGGATATCTAGATATGTTTTTTCCTAGGAGCCTGTGGTTGGTAAGTACAGTCACAGAACAGATATTTAATCTGACAGACTAACCATATCTGTACCAATCCGCAATGAAAGCGTGAATGGGATCAAAAGAAGTGGTATCCCTGTGCCTTTCCCTGCACACCCTCTACCCCATGAGGCCTGGTTTGTTCATGCATGCTCGCATAATGCCAGTGTCAGCGTTGGATTCGCCATAAAGCACAGCAGATGTGGATGTGCCACACGTTTATATAAAAAGCCTAATTCGGGAGAGGACATGAAGGACACAATTTTAATGCTCTCTTCATATTAAAACATACCAACTTCTCTCTCTCTCTCTAGAATAGTCCCTTATCCACTGAACTTTAGGCACAAAGTGAACGTACTCTTCTGCACTTACTGTTCAACTTGTCTCTGTGCAGCAAAGAGCACGCGAGTTATGAGCTCAGGAAGGTGTGCGCTCTTAGTGGTATGCACGTGCCTATCTAGGGGAGATTTCTAGGAGTTTCCAGCATGAATACTTTTTTGGCACAAAATGAACACTAATTTAGTGTCCTCTTCAATGTTTGTACTGAAAGAGATATATGAAATGGTAAAACTTGTTTGCCTCCAGGAGGCTTATAGGAAACAAATGTTTGCTTGTTTCAGAATTCAAGGGAGACAATGGTCTTAGTTTTGCTTTTTCTAACTTAAACAGTTGTCTATAACTTTACGGTCCTCTCCGTAATACAGAATACGGTTTAAGCAAGAAATGCAGCTTTTCTAAGCTCTGAAAGAATGGCTAGATTTTAAAGTATATTATACAAACAGCCCCTGAGATAATCTGATGTATTGCAATGTTTCTATTTTAGTTGTATTTATTTCCTTTTACTCTGCAAGCTACGTTACCCTCTGCACACCTAATTTGTATGAGTGAACAAAGCATTTTATCTTTGTAACAGCCATATAATCCTTCTGTCGTTTATCTTGTGGAAGGAATGTTGATTCTTACATTAGGTTAATTTTTCCCCCCCTCTGATTTTAAAGATGATGGTCAGACTTTATGCATAGTTACTTTTTATTGAAGGTTTTTGTACGGTTTTCAGCTTTTTGAAATGGCCTATGTATTTCACCCAATCGTTTTATTTAATTTTTGATAGATCTGAATGAAGACGTTCACTCTCAGCAACAGCAGCAGTAGGGTGCATTTCTGGGCCTGAGGGACAGTGACTTTTACAGTGCAAGCTAATGCTGATCAAAATGGGGAAAAGTTGCAGAATTGTGCAGTGATTGTGTAGCTGGTAGCCTGTGGTGGCTTATAAAGACAGTAATTATTTATCGCAATCCAGGGACTGGCATGCTTTTGCTTTCTGTAGAAAATGCTGTGATTTTGCAGCTATTTTCAGAAAAGCTCATCGGTGTTACTTTGTCCTAAAGTATGCGTGTTTTTGTCTTCCCCTTAAGACCAGGCACATCCTTTACTCTGCTTTCTGTTTTGGTGGTAGTGAATTTTTTGAGAGAGCAGCAATAGAATAGACTTTTTGTTGCTTTTTTTATGTTAATTTCTTAACAGTACAGACCTGGTCTTCAATAAATATTGATGTTAGCAAGTTTAAAGTAAACTTTTTGTTGCCAGTTTTACTTAGCTTTAAAAATCTTTAATTCTATCCCTAAGAATTAAGTTAAATTCTTAACCTAAGGTCATTTTTACTTGGCAAAATGTTTCATCCTTTTAGCTATTAAATAATTCAATTTTATCACTAAATAACTAGGCAGTTTAAACATAAGAAGGAAAAGGATTTTTGATAGCAAGTCTGCATTGGTAAACCTGAGATTTGCTCTCTTTTGAATTAATGGCATAGAGATATAAACAATTCCTTTTGCCTAGATTTCTGTCTAATTGTTGTAGAAACAAAGAAATGACCAATTGTATTTCCCCAAAACGGTGATCTAGGATGTTAAGAGTAACTGGTGGTTTGTGTGGTGCCCTTTGTTTTAATTTGTTTGCTTTAATTGCTGCCTGGGCAGCAAGGGACTACTTTTGTATTCGGAATAAGGAGCTTGGTAGGAAAACCTTGGTAGGAAAAACAGGCAGAAATTTAGAAAGAATGTAGACAACATAATGTCAGTTGGTCAAGGAAAAACTGTTTACCACCATAGATGCCCAAAACTAATGGGGAAGGTACAAATGTCTTTTTATTCTCAAAGTAGTCAGAGGCCTGACCGATGTGCTGCCAGCTTGCTATCACTTACCTGACTAGTTCAATCGTATTCCAAGGCCTTGAGGCCCAATAGTACGTACAACCCTTTTCTTAGTATTGATTCAAAATTTCGTTTGCCTTCTTAGTGTTACTCTTGAGGTTTTGAAAAGAAGTAGACTAGCTGGAACAGCTTGAATGACTTTCTGCCATCTCCTGTGCTTAATGTACTTTGTTCTTTTGGACAAAACAAAGTCCCTAAGTACTTGTTTTCGTCCAGCATTTGCAACTCCAAAACTTGTTTCCAAGACCAACACTTTAAACAAGCAACTGTAATTACAGTTGGGTGATACAAAAAGTTTTCAACCCCTTCTAGCTCTGAAGTGCTACTACAACAGTGTATATATCACTAAAGTTAATTTCAGGTCTCTTGTTCTTAGGCAACTGGTGGAGGATATGAAAGTGAAGATGCATATCCCAATGCAGAACTCTTCTTCTTGGACATTCATAATATTCATGTCATGCGGGAATCTTTAAAGAAGTTGAAGGACATTGTTTATCCTAATGTGGAAGAATCACACTGGTTGTCTAGTTTGGAATCAACCCATTGGTTAGAACATATAAAGGTAATTTTTTGTTTCTTTGAAATAACGTTTATCCAAATCTAACATATCAGACTTGCTTGCTTTATTGGATTTTGAGATAGTTGTGAAAATATCACATGATGTGGAATACCTCTTAATACTTGGACTGCAAAACTAGTGTTACTGAGTGTTAGCACCCAATGTACTTCTTATGCCAACTAGTCTTGGAGTATCTTAAGAGATATGCATATATTATGCAATAATATGTGGGAGACTTGTATTTTGCGGAATCAGTTGTTACAATTGGTAGCATTTATGTGAATTTGGAAATTTGCTCTTGTAAATTTATTTGTAAATTTTAACTTGTACTACAAGTAAAATATATATTTAAACCATAGTTCAGCAGTGTTTTACTAGTTCATGTTTAAACCTTTTCCCTCAAATATAGCTATGCAAAAGTGTTAGAGTATTAGTTAATAAATCCTACTTAGTGTCCATTTTAAGTTAATATTTGTAAAATAAGCATATTAAAAGGCTGCTAGTTCCTTTTTCTAACAGCTGAGATGTTTTAGCAATGTAGTTCAAAGAAAGGAACTGTGAAAGAAATAGAGTTTTTAGAGAGTATTTTCTACGGTAAATCCTGTCTGTCTTTGAAAAAGAAGCTTATATTCCTCAGTTTATCAAGGTTACTGTTTTCTGTCCCATTTTTTTTAAGACTTTGCTCTGAAATGAATTAGATCTTACTAAGGGATCAGAGTACCAATCTGCTTCCTCCATTTTTATTGATGAAATTACTTTCTCTCTTAGAAAATTCTTTTCCATTTAATTACATCATGCTCTTTGGGTCTTTTAATTGAAGGACTAAAATCAATTCATTTTCGTTAGAATGATAACACTAATCTTCTGTTGTTTGATGTCTGTTTCTCTTTGTTAGCTTGTCTTGACAGGAGCTATTCAAGTGGCAGACAAGGTATCCTCAGGAAGGAGCTCTGTGTTAGTTCACTGTAGTGACGGTTGGGACCGGACAGCACAGCTAACGTCACTGGCCATGCTGATGCTAGACAGCTACTACAGAACAATTGAAGGTTTTGAAGTTCTGGTGCAAAAGGAGTGGATAAGCTTTGGACACAAGTTTGCATCGGTAAGAGTTTTGGAACGTGATTGCAAGGACTGTGCGACATTAACATTCTAAGAAGTTTTGAATGTTAAATTACTCATTCCATTAAGGTTTGATTCTTTTCATTGTTTTGGATTTTCTGATCCAAAACATTTTGAGGAAAGTCTGAGCAGAGCTTTGTTTTGGGCCTTTTTGGTAAACACTTTTTTGCTTTATTTCCGTTTCAAACAAAAACCCTCACGAAACTCCCCGAATTTTAATTGAGTGTGTCCATTTTACCCTTTTGGAAGTACAAAATGGCTAGTGTTACCATGGTTATTGAGCAAAGAAAGTGAGAAGGCAAAAAAAATAATGGTAGCCCCTCAACTTTTCACATAAAGGCTCACATAGGTTCAGATAGGTTCAGGACACAAGGCATAGGTTTTTTTTTTTCTGCATTTGATGCTATTTTGAATGCCACAAGAGGCAGATGAATGAATCTGAGCAATGTTTTCTGAGTGATATTTTGAATGTTTCCTCATTAAATGTTCTAGGATTTGTCATAATAACTATCAGTGGGCAGTCATTGATAGTGCTCGGTCTAGTTCTGTTCAGTCTTTTTCTAAATGCTTAGAAGGTTAAATGAAAATTGTCTGTAGCAAGTTCTTATTATGCTACCTATATATCATGCAAGTGTAGCAAAGTGACACTTTTGTGTCAGGAAAATTTACAGAGTCTGTCTCAGTGGAACTTCTCTTAGAATTGGCAGCTAACCATTTGATATGTTAATTTGTATAAAACTGACCCTTCTGAAAGACGACTTTGGACAAAGAGCTGTCAGCCTCCTCAGGTTGATTGATGTCTTTAGAGACTGACCAGATCAGGTAAATTAATTCCTGTCAGAATATTCTTTTAGATTAGTTTCTGCAACAGCAGTTGAGATATTTGAATTGGGATATGTATGTTTTGTTCTTAGGGATTTTGTCGTGTCTTCAGTGATAAACCTACCCTTTCTCTAAGTATTTTAGTGCTACCCTCTTCCAGTAGTTTGTGTTCCTTCCTGCTTTGAGGTGCAAAGTGTAAAGGGGTAGAATGAGTTCTAAGTAGGAGGAAAAAAGGATCAATAGTGAAAGGAGTTGATATCAGCTGCTCGTCTATCTTTGGGGTTTTCTGGGATTTTTGTTCAACCGAAAGAAGTTAGCGTGCACCAATTGAGAATCACCTTTGAATTTTTGTTCACCCCCTTCTGCTGGGTGACAATAACATCTTTTCCGAGGATCAGCCCTCAAGCAGCTATTCCAATGGGTGAAGCAGGCAATCTAAATGAGGGCTAGTGAGGCAGGTTGGCTTTCTAGGAAGCGTGTGCTGTGATATGTAGACATAAAGCGTAAATTGGGAGTTTTACAGTGGTGGTGTTTGTTAATGCTGAACCTGGTAACCCTCAGTTAAGAAGTTTCCACACCTTCAGTGGAAGTTATTTGTACAGAAGACTGTCCCTAGTAGAGTATTCTAAAGATACTACTTAGTATTGCTAAAATCGGAAAGATAGGCAATCTGATAAAATCAGGAAGTGGAAAGCATACCTATGTGTGCATTTCATGCCCTATTTTACATTTATAAAAGCATCTCAGTCATTCATAAGTTCACCTGGAGGTGTACTCAGCCTCATTCACTTTGCCATTCCACGTTTATAGGCTGCAGCAGTCTTTGATCTGATGTTCTAGAGTTGCTTTGAAGCTCGCAAGATTTGCGTTTTGATTATGTGAATGGTGTCCACTGTAGTCCAGTTTTCTGTGTACTTAGTCTTCTGGTAGCGATGTTTATATACCCTTTGAAGTATTATGTCTTGGTATAGCAGCAGGAAAACATCAGCCTGCCTTTTTATTCTCATTGTGTTTTATCTTGTTTTAAAAACGTTACATTTATGCAGATAAAATTAGATTGCGTCACTAGGACACTTGTAGCCTAGTGATCGTGTTATGATTTGATACTAAGCTTAGATCTGTGTCCTTAACCATTATGAGTAAACTTGAATCGTTTAGAATTCTTTTTATTAAACCATGAATTTTAGTTCAAGTTGTCAAAGCTGTTTTTTCTCTCTGTGTTGTTTTTCTCCTATTAGCGAGGTAGGGCTTTTAGACCCCGTTCGGGTGACTAGCTCAGTCCACGGGTTCATCTAATAATGTAGCAGCTATAAGAGCGATTTCATTAAGTTGCCTTTGCTTCCCCTCTTTGTTCTCCCCCCCACCCCTCATTTGCTCTTTGAAGTAGAACTCTTCGGAAATGGCTGAAGCCGTTCTCCTTTAGCCATGTGCTGGGTTTTTTTTTGGTACTGTATATGTTGGGATGATAGGTTGCTTAGGCTGCTTCTTTTCTGGAGTGTTCTTAGAGGGAGAGCGGATAATACAAGCATGAAAACAAGAGCATACATGCTCTATTTATGTTTGGCAATTTGCTAGAACTGGGCACTTCAGTGCAGTTAGCATTTGCAAAAACTCATCTCTCTTGAAACTTTGTTATGCCCTCCCTCAAGTGGGAAGTTACAGAAGAGCAGGGTGTTCCTCAGATTGTCTGTGTTAGAACAAGCTGACTCGCAGAAGCTTCATATTTTCAGGTTGCCGGAGCTGCAATATAGGATGTTCTATTAAAAAATAAGTAGTAGATCTTGACCGCTTACTCTTCACTGTCAGTATTCTCTGTCTAATGAAGCTCATAATTAGTTTTGTTGCAGAAAAGAATTCCATACCCCGTCTTTTCTGTGTATAGTGAACTATCTGGATGATGAAGGAGCTTGCTATGTGGATTGTCATTGTTCTAATGATGAATTCTAATCTAAGAAATATTAGAGAGATTTCCATATGTAAATGGGAAGATACTCAGGTGTGTACAAATCCTTAACAAGATCCTAAAACTGCTGACCACAGTGAAGGTAGAAAGACTTTCACTCCTCAGGGAACCCCTGTAGGACTGCTGGCAAGCATTACTTTAAACCATGAAAATTGGAGAGCAAGGAAGCCAGTTTGTATTGCCTATAGCAATAATCTGATAATTTGCTACTGTTGACTGAATTTAGATACAATCCTTTGCCTTCTTCAGTTAGTTTCCTGTATTTTAAATTATCTTACAAATCACTGTATGTTACAGAGAAGGGCACTAGTTTTATCATTTTTCACGTCTATAAGATTTTTAAGCCCACTGTCTCACAAACAGAGAGACAACATCTTAATTCAACATACATGCTCTTCCTTTGACTCCTCCAGACAAGTATATTCAAGCAGAATTGCAGGAGTTAGTAGAATCCTCCCCACCCCCTGTCACATCTCTTACATGCTTTCAGCTATCAAACATGAAAAGGAAGCAAACAGCTTTTACCAACCCTACCTTTGTGGGGGAAAATTCCTTTGATTGTTACTCCTCAGAGTAACACAGCTGACCCCAGCTTTCTTCTAGAATGTGCATTAATTTTCTGTCAAAAATACAAAAATTTCTTTGAACTCAAGTCACATGCATTGTCTACCTCAGAGTGAATCTTCAGGTTTAAGTGTGCAGGGAAGAGAGGAGCATCCACCTGGATAGTTTAGTGATCTGGGTTTTCTAGTGGCTTAAATTACCCAAGGTGAAGTGTATGACTTTTAGCTTTTGATAGATGGATTATGTCAATATAACTCAAAATGTATCTTTACTTTCAGTGTAATGGATGCTTAAATGCTTGTTTAACTAGCCCCTTTTCATAATGGGCCCAGTTACCACCTTGGGCTTTTTCCTGAACATCTTTGGGATAGTTTTGCCATAATAGTTCTGTGCATCTGAATCTCTTCTGATTGGTGTGAAAACTAATTTTGAAACCGGAAATTTGGATAGCTCTGCTACAGAAGCATTAATACTTTAGTGTAAAATAAGAAACAGTGTCTATTGGCCATAAAATAGACTCTTTTGAGTAACGAGGCTTTATTGCTACATTTCAGAGAATAGGCCATGGTGATAAAAATCATGCTGATGCAGACAGATCGCCCATCTTTCTCCAGTATATTGACTGTGTGTGGCAGATGTCTAAACAGGTAGGTTATATTGTTCTTCAGAACGTAATGCTGTTAGGGGTTTACTGGACTTAAAACCTAGATCGCTAAAAATTGTGTATTGCAAGAGGAGAGCATACCTGTCTTTTTGCTCTGACACTATAGTCACATTTTCTTTTTAAGTATACCATCCTTCACTATCTCTAAAAGTGGTATGTGAGGCTTAGTCATGTTGCTTAATAAACTATCAGCCATGCATGAGAGGATGGATATGTCCTAAATACGTGCTTCTCTAACACTTTTAGAGGTGTGACCCAGCAGAATGTCTTTGCAGGAATTGTGACTGATGAGCTTATTGGGGTCTGTTTCATTTCACCATTTAGCAAAGCTGTTTCTTGAAGTACAAAGACAAGTTCTGTTTTGTCAAAGCTTGAAAAGGAAGCTTGGGAGCTGTTGAGTGCTAGGAGTTAAACGTTTTGTTTTCAGTAAGTAACGAGAGTAGCAAACCTAGTACTTTTGGGGCCTAGAATTAGGAACTAAACCCTTATCTTCCTGTATGGCATTGCAGTATTAAGAGTGCAATCTACATATGTTGTTAGGGGAAATGTTCTGGCTGACTAATACCAACGGAACTGTAACCACTGAGTTTTGCTTTGGGGTGGAAGGGGGAGTTTAAAGATATAATTTTTGAGGGGGTAGAAATTCTTGTCAATAACTAGTTTGAGGCAATTGAACACTATGATATCTGAAGGTTTACTCTGTTATAAAGTACATATAAAAGTATGATCTTAAAACTCATTTTTTTAGATGCATCTAGGCTTCTAAATGCCTTTTTTAGCCCCTTAACCAGGGCATGTACATCTCTGTTTCTACAATGTAAAGAAAACTTGTCTTTTTGTGCTAGTTTCCTACAGCCTTTGAATTCAATGAGCAGTTCTTGATTACAATCCTGGATCACTTGTACAGCTGCCGGTTTGGTACTTTCTTGTACAACAGTGAATCTGTTAGAGAAAAAGAGGTCAGTCAAACTGATTGTTTAATTGCATTGCTGTCTTGACTCTAGATGATTACAGAAAGCTTCAGTTACATTCCTTGTGCCACAGTGTTTTTGAACTGTCTTTTTCCTGGTTGTGGGGTAGTTGAACAGTAACTTGTTTGGTTTTGGTAGCTTAAAGACTCTGCAATCACTAAAACACTCTTCAAGAACTATTTTTGGAATATTTCTAATACAGTAACTTATTATGCGTCTATTTGAATCAGAGGTCTATTATTTTCAGAATGTAACCCTGGCTTCTGTGATAGACTTGCTAATTCAGTGTGAATGTTTACAGTTTGTGTTTCATTTTCATTTTAGAAAGTGACTGAGAAAACATTGTCATTGTGGTCTTTGATAAACAGTGAAAAATCTAAATTCACCAATCCTTTTTATACTAAAGAGCTAAATCGAGCACTCTATCCAGTAGCCAGTATGCGTCACCTAGAACTTTGGGTCAATTATTACATCAGATGGAACCCAAGAATTCGGCAACAAGTAAGTGAACCATCTAAAATGTATGAAAGGCTTTTAGACTTTGGAAATAGGATTATATTTCATGAGTGTAACTTGTAGGATAATACCTGTAATCTGTTTGGATTTCTTAATATATTTGTGAGGATAGGAGAGAAATGTGAAAATGATTATTTGGTCCCATTCTCTGACATCGCCCAACTCTTTTCCAGAACATTGAGCTTATTTCACTGCTTAGTATGAAGTCATCTTTGAGAACTGCTCCGGGGGAGGGGAGGGGCATTTTTAAGAGCATTTAATGATACGAAAAGATGAATAACAATGCTGAGAAATAGTTTACTGATCACTGGAGAGTTAGTATTGGCATCACAAGCACACTTGTCACATTTGCCTAATATGTCTCCTTTTTCCAGGATAATGTAAAAAATCTTTTACAAGTTAGGATGATCTGTGCAGTGTTCTTAGGATAACTGAGAATGCCATTTGTATTGGTAGCTTATGGCAAGGTGGTTTTTTTTTTTTTTTTGCTAGAACTTGGACCTGAATTGTTTACACAGAGTAAGCACTGGATGAATTCTCTTCTTAATAAGACAAGTGGATAAGATTGGAAACCCAGGGCAGCTTTTATCAAATAAATAGTTCAGTTTTGTGCATTTTAATTTTTAATTGATATACGGGCACTTGTTTTTTTTTTATTTTTGTTACAAACTTGCTAAAAATCTAGGCAGCGTAGCATGTAAAGATACGGCATACAAAGACTTATTTATCCTTCTTAATAAGTTGTAGAGTTCTGAGTAGGAGAAGAAGAAAGAGGAGCAATTTCCTTGACAGAAACGGTGTTCACAGTCCAGGCCCTGGAATGAATTGGGAGTTACCAAGCAATGCAGTTCCTTTTCTGTAGTTGCTCTCCTGCAATGTTTACAGAGCTCTAGAGGCTGGAAGAAATCCAGACAGTATACTCTATTTTCTTACAAGTATGTTGCCAGTTTTAATTTGAAGTTCTCATTTTAAAGCTTTTGTTGCTTGATGTGAAAGATGGTGGCATTTTGCAAGAGGTGAAACCAAAGATTTCTTTTAGAAGGTGAAGGATTGTAGGGCATGCAGATTAGTTGTAAAACTGCTTTAAAATGCTCTTTGCCATTTTTCAGGACAGGTGTTTGCCAGTAGAAGCTTCCATTTAGAAATGCAAATCCATGTGACAGTCTTCTGTTGCTTCTGCCAAATTTGGGTCCTTTGTTTTTCCACCATTTTTATACATAAAAAATTCAGTGAGATTTCTTCTGTTGCACATAAGTGAAGATGAAGCATTATGTTTTTAAGTGACTAAATAGGCTGACCCATGGCCTGAAACAACTTTTTGGGATGGACCTTACTTAGTGTCATTACTTAGAAGCATGTTGGGCGTCAGACTTGGACTAAGGAAGAATCTGGTCTGTTACTTGCAACCTCATTAACCTTACATCTCCAGTTATCTTACTACATTCAATCATTGAAGCAGCTGTAGAAGTTGGATCCATATTCGTTGCCTGCCTTAGCTGAGGCTCATATTGAAAGGTGTGCCTAAAAGGCATTGGTTTACCTGTTTTTTGGACTGGTAGAGGGTTTAAGTTTGCTGCTGAAACTGTACTGCTGATAAAATTAAGCTACAAGCACTTCTGTGTGAAACAGCAGCAGCTCCTTGAGAGAGAGAAAACAGCTGACGGTAACTTAAGGCTCTGTATCTGTCTGGGACACTTGTAACGTTTCTTCTCCATTCTGTCTATCTGTGAAAAGAAATCTAAGTTGAATAGAAATAGTTAAGCTGCTCTTGATGTGAATAATCTTCTGAAAGCTACAGCATTGACTTCTTTTAAAGACATTCAAGTTTACTTGTGGATTTCACTAATAAAAAGTATTGCATTTGATTTATTTATACATAGTTGCAAAGTTGCTATTGAAATCTGAAACACCATCAGTACCGGAAGTTATTTAATCTGAAGGCATAGATTTTATCTTAGTCTGATCAGCGTAGCTAAAATCACCAGTCCGGCTAAACTGTTTTTAGAGAGAAGGTGAGGCATCTAACCTCTAGAATTTAATCTGCTCATAAGAAGAGAAAAGCTGAAGACTAGGTGTTCATACCTATTTTGAACAGGATACTAGGTAATAAGAAAACAATCTGTATGCTTCAGGAACAAGTCGTGCTGGTGGATTGATTTTTTTTTTTTTTTTTTGAGGAAGGAAGAACTATTTTATGTGAAGCAAGCTTTTTTTTGGATCACAAAAATTTGACACAGAGGGCTCAAATATAATGCTCTTGCATTGTAGAAATAGATATTTCTATTTGGCTACCCCTTGTTAGATATGTCAGAAATAGCAAGTATGGGATGGAACCCTAACTGTATGGAAGTAGCTAGACTAAAATGATAAAAGACTAATTTGGGTCTCTTTCTAGCAGCCAAATCCAGTGGAGCAGCGTTACATGGAGCTCCTTGCGTTACGTGATGATTATATGAGGAGACTTGAAGAACTACAGATCACAAATAATTCTAAAATACCCAATTCATCAGCCTCATCAGCATCTTCCTCGCAAATGATGTCCCAAGTACAAACACATTTTTGAAGAAAATGTTGGCTTCTTTCTACAGTGTAATAGCAAGAGAGGTGATTAACAAGGAGGCGTAGTATAAAGACAAATGTTTTAATGCCTTACATTGGATTGTGACATTGGATTGTGTCCTAACACAAAATATTTTAGACTGCCTTCATTTAAGGAGGACTTAAAAACACACAAAACCAACTCTTTAAATATGTGCCTTTCGGAACCTGTGGATTGGGAATGTTAATAACCAACTTCTAGTTATGGAGTGCTTAGACTTATTTTGGAAAGTCTGGTACAATTAAAATGAAATTGATTTATTGTTTTTTCTAAGAATGCTTTAGTTTATGACACTTAGGTCATATTCCTGTAAGGAAATTCATGCTTGATCTTACATGTTGTGAATAAACATGCTAATGTCAATAGGAATATTCACATTGTGTAAAATTAGGTATGTGTGTAATCCTTTTAGGAATAAGACTGTGGCCTTGAGACAAAAATAATTTATATCTTAAGATTTCAAACGGAAGTGTTGAAATGTTCTAGTTACCTGAGGATCCCAATTTCTGTTTTAAATGAAAACGTGGAAGGAATTTCTCTATACTTCTAAGTAAACAGTTCAGATTGCTCAGTAGGTATCAATCCAAGAAAAATCTAATTTTTATTTTTTAAACATGCAGATTGAACTGGATTCTGAGAAGTCATATTTTGGTTAACTGCTGAGCCTTACAGTATACTACAGATTATCAGTGTTGGCTGTATTGGTTCTGTGGATTCTTACAGAATAAGAATGGTTTCCTAAAAAAGCTTATATAATTTAAAAAAGACCCACAGGGACGTTGCTTAAATATCCAACAAGAGCAATTGTCTTAAAGCTTGTGTATGGCTTCTAAAACTAAATGTGCCTATTTAGAGCAGCTTTTATACCAAAGTAGGCAAAAATTCTCGGTTACAAATACTGTTAAACTTATAAATATATAGCTTACTGTTTAATGTATATTTAGCTTTGGTTAATGAATTTATTCTTAAGTATTTAAAGGGACTTCAGTATACAGGATTTGCATATAGTATGTGCACTTACATTGAATCTTTCAGTGAATTCTGGCTTGAAGCCTTCATTTCAGAGGCTTCTTGTAAACCTTTCTAATTTGCTCCTTTCAGGTATTTTTAATAGTTGCAAGCACTTATGACTGCACAAACCTTGCTACTTGATATGTAATTAATGTTTTGCATATTCTCAGAATTTTAATGATAGTCAGGCAATCCAGGAAATCTTGCCATTCAGAATATGTAGAGGACTCTAATATTGTTATTTTAAAGGAAAGGTTTTGATGCTTGAGGCTTCGATCATTGTAAATTATTGTACATGTGAGTTTTGATCTGCAAAATATAATAGGATTATGTATAAATTTAAGTTTTGTGCAAGTGTATATATAATATAGTTTATTAGAAATTCTCCAGGTTTATGAAGTGTAAATATTTTGCTTATGAAACTAAATTTAAAGCTATAGTTCCATAAAGTAAGTCAAAGTTTAGAGGACACCTGAATATTTTTAGAAACAGTATTTTTTCAAAGAAATAGATTTACCACCTCTTTAATTCAGTATATACACTGAATTGCACTATTTTTTCAGGGACGTTCAGAAGATACTGCGTGTGTGTTTTCTAAATGCACATGACTTATACACACTTATTTTTGTCCTCTAAATCTCGTTCTCCCTTGGATGTTTTTCAGTGTTTCCAAAGTAACAGCATTTAATCTTGTAATCCCAAAATCTTGGTATGTTAAATGGGATGCGTTGCATCTGATGAAGAATGATACTCAATTGATAATGGTAAACTTTAACTTTACTACGTTTTGAAAACGGCATACTCTGGTATATTTGCCTTCCACTTGCTTCTGGCCTATAAAAAGGAAAAAAAAAAGCTAATTTTATTGAAATATTTGAAGTTTCTGTATCTCAGTTGAGTGCACTGATGTCATCTCTGAGCAGTATGGAGGAGTGCAGAAAATCTAACAGTTTTTACTGTGTAAATGCTACCTGATAGCCCATTGCATTTGTGAAAGTGTAACATTTGAAAGGATTTTTTTTTCCCCACTTCATTGCCTATATACTGTTCTTCATATTACCGGTTCAGCTGAATTTCATTCTTTGAAAATCTAACATAGCTATGTGTGCGCTTGGATTTTTTCAAGTCAATGAATAAAATATTTGTTTTAATCCTATTAAAAATTGTGATATTAATTAGAAAAATGCTGGTGTTCTTTCTGGGAAGTGCTGCCTGTGCAGTTACTGTGACTGCTGGCGTACAGGGGTCACCGGTGGTAGGAAGCTGTCCCCGCTCGCCGCGGCGGGGCCGGTACCGGGCCCCCCCGCCCCAGCCCCCTTCACAGCCGCGGTCGGGTGCGCTGCGCGTAGCCGGTAACTCGGTAAGGGCAGTTATTCCTGTTGTAGCAGAGCGTACAAACT